TTGTGTTTGTTCAAAGACTTTATTGCCATTTATTAAAAGCAAGGAAACAAAAGCAGGTAGGAAGGTTTTCTTGCTTGTTATTTGCAGCACTGATGATGATTCCAGCTGGTTGGCATTAGATGCTTGAATTATTTGCGTTTGGCAGCACGTCTTTCATCTATTCTCTTCATAGCAGTCTTCACCCATTTCTCATCAGGGCTTATGCAGATCTTGATACCTTTTGCTGTGATAAACCTATAGGAAGAAAGAAAGCAAACCAGGTAGGCATTGTATTTCAGTCTCCAAACACAGGTCTGCTCTTCCTGGGTTTTATTCCGAACATGAGGAAAAGTGTGGTAAAACAATATCAAATGCTGGAGTTTGTAGGTGTTAGAATAGCAGCAGTTAGTGTTGTTAGTTCCTTTTTCATGGCATTGGTATATGTGTAACMTACATGGTCATGTACATATGCACATTTTAAGAAATCCAAGTATAACTGCTGTTCTGGGATTTTATATTAAAACATGGTGAACATTTACCTCCCAGGAGCAGATCCCAGATTTGATAAATATGCATGCTTGTGAGCTCAAATGAGAAAAYGCAACTCCTAGCAGGACTCAGTTGCCCCATATTCTTTCACATGATCTTTCCCCTTGATCCAATTCATTAATGGGGCCTCTGACTGCTCCACTGTTGTTGAGATTTTGCCCCACTATCAAAGTACCTAAGGTGTGACTGTTCAGTGAACTTTTTGCCATTATTCATGAGCAGCACACATTTCCCAGCTTTCTGAGGCCCACTCCTCTCCCCTCGCTCCCTCAGCTGCTCGGCAGCTCCTCAATGGAAGAACTGGAAGGGTGACCGAAACTAGACAGATTTCTTGAGTTGGGCCATGAAGTGTCTTTTGATGCCCCTTCCCTATTTGATGATATTGCATAGACAAGTCTGAAGGGTGTGCTGGGTACTTACATGATGGCATTTGTTGGTACTTGTTGCTTTTGATAGCTCACAAGRGTTCGGATGTTCAGTTGCTTTGGAGACAAAGTGAGGCAACTGAATTTGCGAATGGACTGACTACTAGCACTCCCTAAAGGTGAAAAACAGATAAATGATAAAGGCATTTAATRTTTAGCTGTAATTACTTAATAAATCATGAGTTCCAGAAGATTTYCAGTTGTGGTTACACCATGAGAGTTGYATGATGTACARCCACAATACCAGTTAYACAAGAGAGCTTAATACACTTTTTGTGATGCAGTCTAGCWTCTCTCAGGTGTTACTGCTATTTCAGTTAAGATACAAATCTTCACCCATTGTCCTGGTCAATTGTAAAGTAAGACTGTCCCCAGGAAGTCACAGCTTCCATAGCAAAAAACCTCTTTGACATCGTAATTATTAGGTCTGCATCATCATCTGCAAATGCCCATGTGGAATTAGTGCTTAGAACTGGAACTCTACTGGGTGGATTTCCATACATCACCTAAATGTGGATCAATAATTCCTCCTATTTTCCAAGTGAAAAAAAAGGAAGACAAGTTAACTTCCGTCACACTGGATATCTAAAAGTAGCATTACCAAAAACTTTTGCCAGAAAGGGAGGTATATCTGCCAGAAAAATAAATGCTTATATCCTCTGGTTTTAACTCTGATTTCATAGGCGGTGCAGTGCTACTTAATCCTTGCTTTCCACCRGGATTTTGATACCATTCAGAGAAATGGACTGATCATTGATAAAGAGGATCACGATGTAAAAAACATTTTCTGGGCAGTTGTTATCTCACATGATGA